TGTCATGTACAAATAATAAGTTTTCTTTTTTCCCCCAATCTTACTACCCTCTCACCTGCTCCTTATTGCACTAGCTAGAACTTCCAGTACAATGTTGAACGGCAGTACTACAGTGAGCACCCGTCACCTTTTCCTTCACTGGGAAAACAGTCAACATTTAATTATGATGGTTGCTACAGATTTTTGTAGATACTCTTTAACACATTAAGAAAGTTCTCTTTTATTTCTGGTTCCCTGAGAAATTTTAACACGGGTCACATGATTTTTCTCCTTTATTCTGCAGACGTGGTAAACCACATTGGTTGATTTTCAGTAATTAAATTCCACTTAATCACGATGTATTGCTCTTTAAGTGTATCACTGGATTCAGTCCGCTAATATTTCGTTTAGGGTTTTTGCATCTATGTTCAAAGAAATACTGGACTATATATTTTTCCTTTCTTGTCACTGATTTTTGCTCTGACCTTTATTGTCTTTCTTTCTACTTCCTTTGGATGCAGTTTGTTTTTCTTCTAGCATCCTGAAATGGACACCTGGAGACCACCAACGTTCAACTGTTCTTTTGGAGTACAGACATTTAAAGCAATAAATTTCCCTCTAAGCACTGTTGCAGTGGCAGCTCGTAGCTTCTGATATTCATATTTTCATTATCATTCAGCTAAAATATTTTCTAATTTTCACTGTGATTTCTTATTTGACCTATAAGATATATAAAAATGTATTGCTTAACTTCTAAATATTTGAAGATATTCTAGTTATTTACTACTCAATTTTAGTTTAAGTCTACAGTGTTCAAAGAACATATATTGTCTGATTTCAATATTTCAATATTTGTGGAAACTTGTTCTATGGCCCAACCACAGACCAAGTCCAGCCTACTGTTTAACATCACGTGAACCTCAACAGATGGTATATTCTGCACTAGTTGTATCTAGCACTGTATATTAAATCAAAGTGCTGACCTATGTTGTTCCAATCTATATCCTTATTTTTCTATCCTTATTTTACCAGCTCCTAAGAGTTTTGTTCAAAATCTCCAATTATCTCTCTTTTCAGTTTTGCTAGCTTTTGCCGTGTATGTGTACATCTGATTTTAGGGGCATATAAATTTAGGAATGTTACATATTTTCTGTTGAATTGGCTTATTTATCACAAACATATCCATCTCTCACGATGCTCCTTGCCTTAAACACCACCTTATCCGACAGTAAATTTGCCCTATCAGGTTTCCCCTGGTCAGTCTTTGTGCAGTATCTTTTCCCATCCTATTAATTTCAACCCTTTTGTGTCTTAATATCTAAAGTTTATCTCATATCTATCTCATGTAGCTAGCTGTGTTTTGTTTAATCTAGTCTGTCAACATTTGTCTTTTAAGTGGAATACTTAAATCACTTACATTTAATGCAAATTAAACCCCATTTTTCTATTTCTTTTCTAGTTGTCCATTTACTCTCTGATACCTTCTTCCTTTTCACTTTCTTTTGAATTAGTCAAGTATTTATTATTCCACCACAGCCTTTTAATTTTATCTTCTTTTATTATCCTTTCGGTGGCTACCCAAGAGATATGCAAACTTGATTTATTAGTGTATTTTAATTACTTTTATCACACCCAAAGCAACACACAGCCCACACAACAATTTAACTTTATTTACTCATCCTAGCTTTGTGCTATTGCCACATTTAACGTCTACATATGTTATAAACACCAGAAGCTGTTGCTGTTTTCTTTTGAAATAATCAATATTCTCTCAAATTTACTCACAGATTTACTCTTTCTGGTGGTCTTCATTCCTTCCTTTAGATGCATGCTTCCATCTGGATCATTTTCCTTTAGCCTGAAGAATTTCCCTTAGTATTTCATGAAGTGCATCTCTGATAGCAACACAAATTCTTTGATTTTATTTATTTATTTGGATTAAAGAATCTTGACTTTCTCTTCATTTATCAAAGGTATTTTCAGCTGGGTAAAAAATTCCAGGTAGGCTTTTCCCCCCCATTTAAGCACTTTAAAGATGTTATTCCATTATCTTCTAGTTTTAATAATTTTCTTGTAAAGTCAGCTAGAAGTCTTTTTATGGCTCCTCTGAAGGAAAATGTCCTGTCTTCTCTACCGGCTTTTAAATTTCTCTTTATCTCTGATTCTAAGTAACCTGACTAGAACATACTCAGATACGTTTCGTCTGTTGTGTGTTCGTGTTTATTCTGTCGGGCTTACTGAGCTTCCTGACTCAGTGAGTTAAAGTTCCTCATCAGATTTGCAAAATTCTCAGCCATTTTTGCTTCAAGTATTTCTCTTTCCCCCTCTTTCTCTCTCCTCTTCTGGAATTTAAACTTCATAGAGTTTAGGACTTTTGTCTGTGTCACACATATGTCTCACACTCTGTTTTGTTTATTCTTTTTTTCTCTGTGATTCCACATGGATATTTTCTGTTGACTTGTTCCTGAGTGTTCTCATCTCAACTTCTGGTGTTTCCAATCTGGTTTTAAATCCATCTAATTCTCAACTTCAGATATTTTTCAGAGACCGTTATCTATTGAATGCTTTATCTTTTCATAGATTTATTTCTGTTTTAACATATTTATTAGGTATTTTGAATTCCACTCACAACCTATTGGCCAAAATTAGTGACAGGCCCCACAAGCAGGCCAGGAATGCAATCCTACCTTGTTGAGGGCAGGTACAGAGAGAGAAACATTTGGGGAACAGCATTAATGATTACTACACTTGGCTAGGGTCATATAAGCAAGTGTCAGCCTAGGTCTAAACACAGGCATTTCTGATTCCAATCACTTGTGACCTTTCTACTATATTAAAACCTTTTAGGGGATAATCTATCACAAAATTAAAATTTGACTATAAATTTTTAAACTAGGGAAACTTGGCTTTCTTATCTAATTTTGAATGGAAAATACTGAATAAAAATTTCATGATGAATTGACTGCAACAGTCCTCGTTTTTAACACTTTTAAATTGAGGTCTAATACATACATGGAAAAGCTACAAATCATGAGTACATAGCTCAATAAACTATCACAAACTGTACACAACTGTGTATCCAACCTCCAGGCCAAGAAACAGAACATCACCACTACCCCACAGGGCCCCCTCATACCCACAGGAACTGTCCTCTTTTACTCCCCCAAAAGTCACCAGTGCCCTTCCTTCTAACACGCTACAGTAATTTGGCATGCTTAGACTTACAGATAGATAGAATCATATAGCAAAGATGCTTTCGAGTCTGACTTCTTTCAGTTAACATTATGTTTGTGATTCATCCACATTGCAGTTTCTGACTATAGCTGCTTTATTTTCTTTCTGTATAGTATTCCATAAAGACATCATACTATATTTACCCGTTAATTCTGTTCTTACTGCACATTAGAGTTCTTTACATTTGGAGTTATCACTAATGACAATATACATTGCTATACATTCTTCTGGTACACATATGCATGTACCTATTCAAAACCTCTTGGCCAAAGGTCATATTTAACATTTTCCGATACTACCGACCAATTTTCCAGGGTAAACTTTGCAGACCCATCAGCAGCATACATAGTTCTCATTTTCTTTCTTTTTTTTTTTTTTTTTTAAAGATTTTATTTTTTCCTTTTTCTCCCCAAAGCCCCCCGGTACACAGTTGCGTATTCTTCGTTGTGGGTTCCTCTAGTTGTGGCATGTGGGACGCTGCCTCAGCGTGGTCTGACGAGCAGTGCCATGTCCGCGCCCAGGATTCGAACCAACGAAACACTGGGCCGCCTGCAGCGGAGCGCGCGAACTTAACCACTGGGCCACGGGGCCAGCCCAGTAGTTCTCATTTTCTACTTCCTCTCCAATAGTTGGCATTTGACCTTTTACATTTCCAGCAATTATTTTTTTAATTGAGATATAACTGACATACATTTTATTAGTGTCAGATGTATAACACAATGATTCAGTATTTGTATATACTGTAAAATGATCACTACTATCAGTCTAGTAATGTCTATCACTATACATAGTTACAAAATTTTCTGTTTTTTTGCAGTAATTTTTTTTAAAATTACTATTTTAAATTTTTTTAAAAAAAATTTCTATTCTTGTACTGTCTAAGACAGCAGCCACTAGCCACATGTGGCTATGGGCGCTTGAAATGGGGCTAGTGCAACAGAGGAACTGAGTTGTTACCCTTATTTCATTTTAACTAACTGAGATTTAAGTTTAAAAACTGATACTCTATTCAGTTGGTGAAAAACTTTGAAGTTAATTTGGAACAACTTCAATACATGAATCTACTTTTTCAACTCTAAATTTTACAAAATCTAAATATAGCAGAAGCATTTCTGATGAAAATTCAGTGTCCTAATTGGCATGGGCAGTAAATGTAAAACACATAATGAGATTTCAAAGACAATTTTTTAAAAAAGAGTAAAGTCTGCATCTTTTTTCCTACATTGAAGATACGTCGAAATAATATTTTAACCCCTATAGGATTAAAAATATTGTTAAAGTAAATTTCACCTGCCTCTCTTCACCTTTTTTAACGTGGCTACCAGAAAATCTTAAATAACCTATGTGGCTTAAGCAATATTTCTACTGGACAGTGTTGCTCTGCACCATATATGCACACACAAGATAGCTGAAAACAAAATATACAACCTGTTAAAGTATGAATATGTTGGTTAGAAAAACGGTACAGAATATTTGTTAAATAAAGCAATTTAACTGCTCTATCCTAGCAGAGATTCCTCCAATTTAGATATAGGTGTGCCTCCTAAAACGGAAAACCCTAACCCTAAGATTAAAATAAAATGCATACTGACCATAGCACACAAGAGTCCTTTAGCAACAAAAGGTTAGACCAAGTCTTCTTGACTAGTGATTTAAATCATATACAACCTGCTTCAAAACCAGTGAATTGAGAAATCACCCACCACACACGCACTTCTCCACCCAAAATGACGGTCGATAGAGCATTCTCATTCAGAGTCAAACAGAACCACCGAAGTTTGGCCTACCTTCAAATTCTTTATTCTTAACGGGAGGGCGGGCGAGGAGCGAACAGAGCAGGTGGTGCTGGTCACAGACTTTCGTTAAAAAGAACAAAAAAACACGTACTAGTTAGTATAACTATCTATAAGCTAATTACACCATAACAACCATCCAACAGCTTTTGAGACAGGAAGGCCAGAAGCAGACACTACGAAGTAATGAAAGCAGAGTGAAAGGGGCTCCTTACTGGATTCACTGGCTGAAACCCCCAAGCAAATCCCGCCCCATCACAAAGCACTGTTTCGCCTCGAGACTGTTAGTTTCTTACATTTTTCTGCAGGACAAAAACACCCTTGGTCATCCTCCCACTGCTAAACAGCTCAGATAGGCTGGAAAGGCAGTGTTGGCCTTACGGGACTGCTCAGGAAGGCTGCGGAGGTCCTGGGAAAGGCACAACCATGGAGGCGCACCCGGCCTCTGACACCAGCCACCCCGGCTGGAGGGCGTGGCCGTCACCACCTTTCATCCTCACCTCACCACGTTCAGAAAGCAAAATAACCTCGAGGGCCGTGGGGAACAAAGCTCTCCACCCCCAAGCCCGCTGCTGCCCGACAGGTGTGCGGGCGGCGGCCCAGCGCCCGCGGCCACTTACCCAGCTCCAGGGCCTGGTCGCACCGGAGTAGCGCGGCCTCGGGCTGCTGCTGGCGCTGCAGACTCCGCGCCTGGCCGGCCAGCCTGCAGCGCCGGCACTCGGCCGGGAAGCACTTCTCCAGCAGGCCGCTCAGGACCACGTGGACTCGGCGCACGGGAGGCGGCGCGGGCCCCGGCTCCACGCAGCGCTTGCACACCGTGCGCCCCCACGGCAGCGTCACCCGCCTGTGTAGCAGCCGCTGGCAGCGCGGGCAGCCGAGCAGCTCCCGGGCGGCGGCGGGAGCCCTGACCGACGGCCCCCCGCTCGGCGCCTCGGCCGGCAGCCGCCCCTCGCGCCGGCCCAGGGCGCGCGCTAGGCCGCCCGCCAGCTCCCCCAGCTCCTCGGGCCGCAGCGCCCCGAGCCGCGCGGCGCCGCGGAACGTGCCCAGGGCCTCGGGGAGCCGGCCCGCGCGGGCCAGCGCGTCCCCCAGCCGCAAGCACAGGCCGCGGTCGGGCTGCGCCAGCCCGGCCAGCGTGGAGCGGAAGAGGTCGGCTGCCACCTCGTACTCGCCCGCGCGGAAGGCCTCGTCGCCCTTCTCCAGCCGCCAGGCGAAAGGCTCCCCGCGGTCACAGCCGGGACACTGGGGCGGCGGCGGCACCGGCTCGGGGCTCATACCGCGGGGAGGCGGCGGCGGAGGCCCGGAGCGAAGACGCGGAGGAGAGAGGGCACTCGGCCGCCACCTTCGCGAGTGCCACGCGCGTCTGGGGCGGCGCGCTCTAACCCGCGGCCACCAGCGCCTGGGCGGGCGGGCGCAAAGCTGGACCGCGTCCCCGCGCCGCACCCCCCGGAGGGGCGGGGCAGGTGCAGGGGGCGGGGTCAGGCCCTGCCCACGCGTGGCACCCCACCCGCTCCACTGGCTTATGTAACTCGGGTCCGCTGTAGGGACGCGGCGACCCCCTCCCTAGGTCCGCGCCTCTTGCCAGCTATGCGGCCGCTGATCCCGGGCGTCCCCGCCCGTGTGCGTGCGCCTTCGTCTCCACGCGCCCTTCCCCGCGCCTTCTCTCCCCGCCGTCCGAGGCACTTCTCCGCCGAGCCTCCGCGGCCGCGCCGGCAACGGGTGTCCGGGGCCGGGGTCGCCCAGCTGTCGGCGCACCGCGGCCGCAGCCTTTCCCAGGGGCCTGGCCGCCAGACAACCTGTGGCTGTGGCTACAGTGAGAACCTAGGAAAAGTTCCCAAGCACATCACGTATCCCTAGCTTTGATTCGGCAAATTGTCTTAAATGGCTGGGAAGCCTGAAGTGGGCGCGGAACGGGTCTCATCAGCAAGCTTCTCTTAACGGAATAATAAGTTTTAGACAGAGACACTTTAGAACTCTAATTTAGACTGAACAATAATTTTAATACAAAATGTGAAGAAATACCAAACTAGGTGCTGGGAGGAGCAGGGAGTTGAGAAATGGACAATTGTGCCCTTGATTAGGAAGCAGAAATAGAATTTTTAAAAATGTGTCTTAATGGAGTACTGCATACAGAAGTTGCTGGAAGAAGGGAGTTAAAAGCTACGCTGGTGTTTATGCAAGGACTAAAAGTGTTCTTTCTGTGTTCATTAATCAGGTTTCAGAATTCTCATTATACATAGCCTGCTCTTCTCTCTGTATTGTTCCACCATCTATTTTATTCTATGTATTTGAATGCAATACAATGCATTACAATATTCCAGAATCCATACTGTTCATGTTTTCAAGTCCAAATTTTATTCTAAGTTTGTGAGGGTTTTTTTACATCTAAAACAGCTGACTAAAAAAATATAAAATACCTTGATCAAATCTGGCTTTGGGAAAAGGAAAATGCCTCATTAAATGAGGAGAGAAAATTTTAGAGCAGTTCGTAAAAGGGAAAAGGAGACAACGTTCGGCAGCCCTTTGGTCCTATAATAGACAAATACAGAGCGCATCGCTCCACGCACCCCAACCCCCGCTCTTTCCATGAAAGATTTTCCCCCTAGCCGTCCATTTTGACTGTAACAGTTGTAGTCAAACGAGATTTTTATCTGTTTCTCCTTAGCGAATTATTCCAAACTCTCTTTTTAATCACTTTTTGTTTTTATCTACTTTCTTTATACAGTAGAAATTCACTTATATATGAAGGTTGTTCATTTATCCAACAAATTCACAGCCAACAACCAGGAAGCTAGGAGGAAAAAGCTTCTGAGTATTTAAATTGGTGCCTCAAAGACTACACACTAAGGATTATGAAACCTTATCATCTCAGATCCCATCTGCTCTTATTTTAGACAAATTTCTAGCAAGAGAACAGAAAGGAGAAGCTTGTTGGAGGTATGCCTGCTGAGAGCAAGAAGTGTTTAAAACAAAAATATTAATGTACTGTGAGGTTTATAACATATATAGAAATAAAATTATGCTAAAAATAGCACAAAGGTCAGGAGAGGAGAAATGGAAAAACAGTGTTGTAAGATTCTAATACTATATGTGAAATGATATAATTTTACTTGAAGGAAAATTATAATAAGCTAAAGACGTAGACTCTAAAGCCTAAAACATCCACCTAAATCACACAATTAGCTATAGGTAAAAAGCCAACAAAGGACACAAAATGAAATCATTTTTTTAAAAATTCTATTAATCCAAAAGAAAGAAGATAAAAAGGAGAAAGGCAACAGAAAACAGATGGGACAAAGAAAACAAATAATAAGATGGTAGATTTGAACTTGACCATATCAATCAAAGTTAATTAAATATCAGTGGTCTAAATGCCATAATTAAAAGGCAAAGATTGTCAAATTGTATTCAAAGGAAGACCCAAATATAGACTGCCTACCATTTTAAATAAGAAAATACAAATAAGTTAAAGGTAAAAGAATGGAAAAAGATGTTCCATCTTAACCCTTATCAAAATAAAGCTAGAGTGACTATATTGCTATCTGACAAAGTAGATTTCATAGCCAAGAATATTACTAGGAGAAAAGATGGCCATTTCATAATGATAAGGGGGTCAATTGGTCAAGAGGACATAATAATCCTAAACAAGTATGCACCTAATAATAGAACTTCAAAATATGTGAAGCAAAAACTGATAGAACTGTAAGGTGAAACAGATAAATTCAGAATTATTGTTAGAGATTTCAGTACCCCTGTCCCAACAATCAATAGAACATGTATACTGAAAGTCAGTAAGGATACAGAAGACCTGAATAGTACTACCACCTAGCTTTACTTGATTGACATTTATAGAACTTTCCACCCACAACAACAGAATACATACTCTTTTCAAGTGCACATGGGACATTTACCAACATAGTACATATTTGAGCCATAAAACAATTCTCAATAAATTTAAAAGAATTCAAGCAGCCAAGTCATACAAAGTACGTTCTCTGACCACAGTGGACTGAAAATAGGAGTCAATAATAGAAAAATATCTAGAAAATCCTCAAATATTTGGAAACTAAGTAACACACCTCTAAATAGCCCATGGAATGAATAATTGGATTTTTATATACTAGCATTAAGTGGAAATTGAAATTTAAAAACAATACCATTCACAATATCATACAAACTGTGAAAAACTTAAGGATAAAAATGAAAAACCATGTCTAAGATCTGTACACTAAAAAATACAAAAGGTCACTGAGAGGAATGAAAGGAGACCTGAACAAATGGAGAGACATAACGTAGTGAAGGATCACAAGACTCTGTGTTGTTTAAGATGTCAGTTCTCTCTAAATTGATCTGTGGATTCAACTTGATCTCAATCAAAATCTCAGCATGACTCCTTGTAGAAATTGACAGGCTAATTCTAAAAGTCATATGAAAATGCACAGTACCTGAAATATCCAAGACAACTTTGAAAATGAACAAAATCTTCCAGACTCATTATAAAGCTACAATAACCAAGAGAGTGTGGTTTTGGTGTCAAAATAAACAAACCGATCAATGGAATAGAATAGAGATTCCAAAAGTAGACCCACACATAGATATGGGCAGTTGATTCTCAACAAAGGCTATCGAGTGGAGAAGAAAATAGTCTTTTCAACAAACGATGTGGGAATAATTGGATATCCATATGCAAAAAGAAGTAAGAGGAGGTGGAGGAGGAGAAGAAGAAGAAAAGGAAGGAGAACTTTGATCTATACCTAGCATCATACACAAAAATTAATTCAAAAAGGATTATTGACCTAAAAGTAAAACCATAGAACTTCTGGGGGGAAAAACACATAGGAGAGAATTTTTGTGTCTGGGTTTGAGATATAACATGAAAATCATGATCCATAAGAGAAAAAAAGGAAAAAGGAGCCCCTTACATCAGGGATCTGGGCTGACACACAGTGAGGCCTCAGTATTATTACATAGCTGGCCTGATGCTGACAGCTAGTTAATTTTGCTCTCCTATTGGACATAAACAATCTCAGAACATGAACATCAGACAAAGTTACCCTGAGATCATGATCAAGTGAGACAAAAACAAGGGCACTGTGCAACCCACAAAATGCCAACCATCCCCTCTTCTCAGCTAAAATGAATGACTACTACTTCTTTACCAGTTACAGCTTCATTCTCGTTCTGGTTTGTCCTCCTAATAAATAAGATTTAGTGAGATAGCCAATCGTGGAACTGCACCTGCTTTCTCACAGCACCCAATCAGATCCTTCTTCCTTAGATCTTTCCCAAAAGTATCCAGCCAAAGCCCAAACCCCATAATAGGTTCTTTCTAACACCCTCTTACCAAGACTCCCCATGGTGAGTGTTCTCCTGCGCCACAATGAGTAATAAACCAAAATAGAAAATACAGTGTTCCTGGTGATTTGGGGCACTAGGGCATTGACAAATTGATAAATTGGATGTATCAAAATTGAGAACTTCTGCTCTTCAAAAGACACTAAGATATGCTGCACACTTGAAAAAATATTTGTAAATCATGTATCTGGTCAAGAATTTGTATCAAATATATACAAAGAACTTTGGGAACTCAAGAAAGCACATAACTGAATTAAAAAGTGGGCCAAAGATTTGAACAGACACTTGACTACAGAAGCTATATTGATGGCAAACGGGTATATGAAAAGATGCTTAGCATCATTACTCATTAGGAAAATCCAAATCAAACCCAAATGAGCTACCACCACACACCTACTAGAATGTCTACAATTTAAAAAACTGACCATACCAAGTGTTGGCAAGTACATGGAGCAACTAGAACTCTCAGATACTGCTAGTGAGAAGTAAAATGGTGCAGCCACATTGGAAAACAGTTTGGCAACTTCTTGAAACGTTAAATGTATACTTACCATAGTACCAGCCTTTCCACTCCCAGGTATTTATCCAAGAAAAATGAAAACATGTGTCCATTCAAAGACTTGTATGTGAATGTTCATATTGACTTTATCTGTAATAGTTAAAAATTGAAAATAATCCAAATGCCCATCAACAGGTGAATGGATAAACATATTGTGGTCTGCACAATGAAATACTACTCAGAAGTAAAAAAGAATGAACTATTGACACAGGGACCAACATGGATGAAATCCAGAAGAAGTAGGCTGAGTGAAAGAATCCAGACAAGAGAGAGTATATACATATAAATGATTCTATTTATATAAAAATCTTGAAAATGCAAACAAACCTACAGTAATAGAAAGTAGATCAATGGTCATGTGGGGATGGGAGAAGGGATTACAAAGGTGAATGAGGAAACTTTCAGAATGATGCAAATGTTCATCATCTCGATTGTGTTGATGCCCTCAGGGGTGTACTGACGTGTCAAAACATCAAATTATACATTTTAAATATATGCATGTTATTATAATTTCAATTACACTTCAACAGAGCTGTTTTAAATCTGTATAGATTTAAAAAGAGAGATTTAAACATTAAATTTTAAAAAATATGTGATGTATCTAAAGCTATATTTTGCAAGAAATTATAGCCTTAAATGCTCACATTAAAAAAGAATAGAAACTAAAAAGCAATATGCGAACATCCAACTCAAAGAGTTGAGAAAGAAAAGCAACAGAATAAACCCAAAAAGTAGTAAGAAACCAGAGAAGAAACTAGTGAATGGTTCTTATTTTGTTAAGAAAAAGATATCAACTCAAAAGTTAAGGAAAAAAGATGAGAAAAGGGACAATAAAATGAAACACTATGATTAAGATGACAGAAATCTCTAAATATATCAATAATTATAATAAACATAAAAGGACTACATTCACCAATTAATGATTGAATATGTCAGATTGAGCCAAAATTC